CATCCCAGCCTATAGCTTCTTACCTGGCCTTCAGGGGCTCTAGGTGATGTGGACTGAATTGGTAATGTGTTAGTTTTTGGGCTGCCTTTGGTAGTTGCTTTGAAATCAAGCTATTAATACCAGGTTTCCAAGTCTATTTCTCCCTTCTCCCCCAGTTCCATCAAAGCCAAAGAGAACAAGCCTGGAGGTTTGAGAATTGAATATTTATTAACCTTAAAAACTATCTGCACTGGAAATGCCAGAAAATTCGCTGTCAGAATAACATCATTGTCCAGTTAACTAACTCTAGGACTCCAAGATCCACCAGACTTTTTCAAGCTTTGAACCATATATATTTCCCCATGTCCCACTAGTTCTCCCCACTTCCTTCCACATCAGTCCCAGTGCTGTCTGCAGGACACCTCAGACTTGTCACCGGGTGAGCATTCACACCTTGTTTATACAACTGTTTTGCTCTATTTCCTCACTGTGTGACAGGGTGCCAAAGCGTGTTTCCTCCGAGACATTCCCTTCTCTGCCATCTATTTTCCTGTTTATGCTCATTGCAAACTACTTCTGGCTGATGAAAACGGACGTGTGGGAGGTTTAAATCTCCTTGCAGCTGGAGCCATAGCAGGTAACTACAATTTTTAAAATATATATATCATTATTGATTTCAGAGAGAGGAAGGGAGAGAGAGAGAAAAGTCAATGATGAGAGAGTCATTGATCAGCTGCCTCCTGCACGCCCCCCACTGGGGATCGATCCCGCAACCTGGGCATGCGCCCTGACCCAGAATTGAACCTCGACCTCCTGGATCATAGGTCGATGTTCAACCGCTGAGCCACGCCAGCAGGGCTACAATTTTAAGCCAAAAAACTCTCCCCCTTTTCCCTTTAAGTAGTATAGCATCTCTCTGTACTTCCCCCTTTATTTCTGGAAAGGTTATTGTTTTTATCTGACTTAGTTTAAATGTGATCGCTTTTTCTTCTTTGTGGGATGTGCTGTAATTCTGATGAGAGTTAATTACATTTGCATAATGTGGATAAACAGCTTAATGCAGCTTAGCAACTTGGAGCCAAATTAGATCTGCCCATCTAAATTGGGCTTTCATCATTACCGTGTTTCTTAGCCTCCTGTGCCCCTTAAACTTTGAGTGCAGCCAAGCCAAGCATTAAGGTGGAAAAGTTCTTTATCAAATCATTGTTTTGCTGTACTTCATGCTGATGCACAGGTTGGGCATGCCCTTTCTAGCATGTTGGAATCTAAGATTTGGCTCAAAACTGAGCTTTTATCATGAAGCTGTTCCTGTTCCTTCTATCATCCTCCTTAGACCAAAGCAAGCAATGCTTCCTGGCAAACCACCTTGTCCTCAATTGGCATCTCTTCTCTGTCTCTTAACGTTTTCTGTCTTTTATTGATGGTTGTTTGTATAAGTGTTGTCCTCTCCACTGGGCTGGGAGCTCCCTGAGGGCAGAGGTTTCATTCTGTTCATCGTTGCCTTCCCTCTGTGGTCAGCACAGTAATAATAGGAAAAATGTCAATCAGTGTCAGTGGAAAAAGTGAAAACCTTCATCTAGTCTAAGATACCAAATTGGACACAGAAAGGATTCATTCAGCTGGAGGAAGAGCCTTAAAAATGCACGAAGGTACTAAGATGCTTCCTTCTGACCTCAAGGGTCTGGCCTTCCTCCTGTTGTGAAGGGGAAGACCTGGCTCATCAGTGCTCAGCAGTGACAGAGGAAGGAAAGGGCAGTGCTTTTCTCCATCACAGCAGGTCAAGGATAGAAGCTTGAAGGGTGAGCACAGACTCACACACTGTCCCCAAATGACCAGTGGAGCTCTGGCTGCTGAACTCATGGCCTGTGGATCTCACTGTGTTCATTCTCTTCTGGTGCCCGGGCTGAACATGCCAGGACATCCTGAGCACATCCCAGAGTGTGGTGTGTGGCAGAAGCCCTTGGTTCTGAGGGCTTTGGGGTGGATCATGTTTTCTTTCTCAACCTTGATGACAGGGAATGACAAGTGATGATTAAGAAACTCTCCCAGGGAGCTTTGAACCTTTATTTGGGGTCCAGCAAATCCCTGTCTCCTGGCACTTGGAACTTCGGTCAGTTGCATGCACATTTGAAAGGTAGTAAAGCTACCTGTTCAGCTTGGGCACTGAGTGCTCACCCACCCCCTTTCTGGTGCTCACCAAAGTCTCCCAGCTTTAAATGGGGCCAGAAGATTTTCCCTCAAGTCTTCTCTGTGCTTTCCCAGCAGCAGCAGCAAACAGCCAGAGGGCAGTAAATCATGGGCTGGCCTGTTGCCAGTGCTTGATGGGGCTGAGTAAACATTTCCACGGAGCTGTGAGCACTAACTTCTTGCCCACAGACATTCGATGCCAGTTTTCAGAATGAGATATGAATTTGTCTAATTTTTACCCATAAAGCTTTGCTGGCAGGCACTGAGAATATCCAGAATTCAGAACATTGCAGAGGCAGGCATTTGACCCAGCCTCATCTGAATTAGGTGTCGAGCCCTGTGGAGGGAGCTATTTGCCTTGTTCTCTAACAGCCCCCACAAGTCCAGCAGCTCCACCTGCCTACTGATGATTCCGTGACATTCAGTCCATATTGAATTCCTCTCCCCCTGTGGAAGGTTATCTGGCTCCTTTGTTCCCTGTTTTGCTTTGTAAATTAAAGGTGTGGTTGTGAAATCCATCTTGTGTGTCCTGCTGCTGCTCAATCTCAGCACGACCCCAGGGAGCTCGGGCACAGGAGACAGATGATAAGGCCTTTCCATGATCAGGGCCCCTATTGTTCCTTAACCGGTGCCTGGCCTCCCCTGCTCCCGTTGTAACGGCTTCTTTCATCTGAGCTTGTCTGAAAGGAGTCGCAGCCACCTCTCAAGTTAGCCCCTCAACAGGTGACTACATAGGAGTATTGATATTCACCTCTAGCATTAAGGTAACAAGAATCAGCCACAAATACACACACGCACACCCACCCCCTACAGTTTGATGTCAGATACATTTAGGAGCTTATTAAATTGACATTAACCTCATTTCTTATTATGCATGAACACATTTGTATCTTATTTAGGAAAAAAAGTGTGGAAAATAATTGAAATCTAAAGGGGAACACTTGGAAACTGTCCTAGTGATATGGCTGCCTCTTTTCCTTCTCACAATTCTTTGCGGTCATGCAGTACAGAGTGATTTCCCTAATTCAGAAAGAAGAGAGAATCTTACGCTGACCACACCGACACAATAGGCGTTTATATGCTTTTTCCGTTGGTGCCCAGGCATCTGTTTAAGAAGCTCAGTTGGAGCAGTTGAAGTCGCTAATTGCACTGCTCCATGTTAGCAGTATGTCTGTCCTTCCTGGGGTGCTTTGGGTGAATTAAACGTGCCTTTCTCCTGAAAGGTGTGCCTGCCGCTTCTCTGGTAACCCCTGCTGACGTCATCAAGACAAGACTGCAAGTGGCGGCCCGCGCTGGCCAGACGACATACAGTGGTGTCATCGACTGTTTCCGGAAGATACTCCGGGAAGAGGGGCCTGCAGCGTTTTGGAAGGGGACTGCAGGTAGGGGCTGGGCGAATGCAATGGCCGGCAGGTGCCAGGGCCCCCTCCCCTCACCACTGGTCGTCTTCGCCAGTCAGCCTGGTGAAAAGTGCCCCCTCCCGTCTCTCTTTCAGCCCGAGTGTTTCGATCCTCTCCCCAGTTTGGTGTTACCTTGGTCACCTATGAACTTCTCCAGCGGTGGTTTTACATTGACTTCGGAGGCCTGTAAGTGCAGCTGTTCAACACCTTTATCAAGAAAGCACCCGAACCCGTCTTTGTTCAGCCTTCAGAGAGTCCTATAGGACCAATGCATTTAAATCAAACAGTAGGCTCGAGAAGCTTCAGCGTCAGGGAAATGAGGTCTTGACAGGGCAACATCACACACTATTAATCGGCTGCTTGGGGAAACTTTAGGGAGGCAGCAATCCACTAGTTATGTGACTAGTTATGTTTTTTTAGTGCAAGCAATACCGAGCTGCATGGATTTATGTTATTAGATTTTATTATATGGTCTCTTCACCAGAAATAATGTAAGTTTGTATTAGTAACACTTCTGTGAGCTTCCTTTCAAAGACTCAGTCGAGCCCTTCACACCTCTGAGATTTCATTCTTCGCTGTAACTTATTATTAGAATAGGTATAAATGTTCTTAGAGCTAACTTATTGCAAACCAAACAGAAAAGGTTCAAAGAGAGGTTATGCCCGTGGACATAATCACCAGTGAGATCTAGGCCCGAATTTGGGCCTCTTGAAGCTTGCACTGGAGAGAAGAGCAGTCACTTGTAGAGTTTGCTGGGTGGGGAAGGTTATACCCAGAGCAAGCAGCCATCAGCTTGCAGCATAAGACCAAATCCCGCATTGCGTCTTCACCTCATAAACCAAGTAGAGGGACTTGTACAGAGAAAGAACAGCATTCTTACAATTCCAGGCTTTTCTAGGCTTTCACATTCTTTAAAACTAAGAATTATATTTATTTTTCTTTAAAACTTTTTCCTACCAACAGCAAGCCCTCTGGCTCAGAACCAACACCTAAGTCACGCATCGCAGACCTTCCTCCCGCCAATCCTGACCACATCGGTGGATACAGACTCGCCACAGCCACTTTTGCGGGCATTGAAAACAAGTTTGGCCTTTATCTCCCCAAATTTAAATCTCCTAGTGTTCCTGCGGCTCAGTCAAAGGCAGTGGCAGCAGCTCAGTGACGAGACGGCCGCTGAGCGTGGCAAAGTAGCACCCTGAAGAGGGGCCTAGCGAGCGGCCCCGGCGCACCGCCGGCCGCACGGTGCCGACTGAGTGAGGAGTCTGTGTCGTATCCGTGTATTTGTTTATAGTCCAGGAAAAACAACAACAATGCAGTTTCGAGCTTTAGTCTTATGTGTTGAAATGTTTCCTAAGCTTTGGCATGAGTTAGTGTCCTAGACCGCTTTGCACAGCTTGCACTTAGAGTGAGTGACTGTACATATTGTACATCTTTGTACAGAGACATCTTGGCACCTCATCCCAACAAATCACATTTATAGAATGTAATGCAGTTCTTAGTGGCTTGAAATGTACAGAATGTTTTGAAGGTGTTTTATTAAGAATCACACAAAATAAATGTATTACAATTAAATTCATTCTCTTATTGTTAACTGATGGAAATGAAGCATCAGTATTGGATATATTTAATTTCTAGTTAGTTTTCCATTCTGGAATAAAAAGTATTTGCTGCTAAAGAGGTACAACAAGACCAAGGGCTGACGCCATTGAAATAAGAGATGCATGCCAGTGGATGCCAGAGGACCAGGCTAATGACTCGCATGTGCTGATGTGTTCCCATTGTATTTCACGTGTGTGTAGATTCTCTGTTCATCAGTCAGAAGGCATTTCCTAGACAGCTCCTCTCCTGTCATGCATATGGAGAGAGGGACATCTTCAGCACCACTGGCTTAGTTTTGCTTTCCTCTGACACAGCAAGGGCCTAGTTTTCAAAACAGTAAAGGATACTTTGGCAATTTTCCTTCATGTGGATATGATTCCAATCAAAAATAAAATACACACCAAAATGTATGCATGTAGTTGAATTTTCCTTCATAAATATACTGATAGTGCCTTTTATTTTGATTCACTACTGATTCCAAATAACTCATAATCGGTTTCACTCTCTTACACTTTTATAGGAAATAGTTTGATATCCAAGGGTCTGTGGTGGAATGAGGGGAGGGAAGAAGAGAAAAGCTCTATCTTGTGACTCAGTGGGGTCTAGATTCCTCCTTATGAATCCAAATACAAATTACTTGTTGCAAAAGTCACTCACCAACGGTGTGATTACTAATTCAGATCTCCACGTGCACCCTGACAGCCACATCTACACTTCGGTGCGGTTGTGATTTGATGTGTAGCATCAGAATTTACTTACTTTAGCCAAGTGCTTTGTGAAAACATTATTGCTATTGCCAATGAGCCAGGATATTAGAACATATGCAACATTTTCAAAGGGCAAGTCTGGAGATGGCCAGTCACTTAGTATCCTACACGACGCTCATCATTTAATGGCTGACAGCCCCGTAACACAACCAGAGGCTTTCAAGGCCCTGCAGGAGCAAAAGAATTAGCTTTGAAAGCAGAGTTTTCAGGGTTCTCGGAATGGAATGAATAACAATACCATTGTTTTGCTATTACCACCTATTAAAAATGTGCAGGTGTCTGTGGGTATGTTCTTACAAAGATTCCTACAAAACTACATATGTATGTAGAGTAAGATGTGAAAGTGCCCTCAACCCTGCTTCCCCCTTCACCACACCCTGCCCCAGAGGTTGTCCCCACTAACAGGTTAGAAGAGCCTGTTTTTCATCTGTATAAATATTTATATATACATATTTATACTTTCAAACAGGATTGTTTTTAAATCTATGTATGTGCTGTTCTATGACTCGTCTTTGTTTACCTCATGTCTTTGAGATCTTTCCATGTCAGTTCACAAAGGTTTATCTTAATTTTTAATAGCTGCATAGTATTGCATTGTATTGGTTACGATACTTTTCATAAATTATTCCTTGTTGACAGTTACTCATTTTTTTTTCACGGTTGCATGCAATGCTGTCGTGAACAGCAAACATCTTCATACACACGGTTTGAGTACATGTGCTAGTATTTCATTAGGTTCGATATTTAAAATTGGAATTGAGTATATTAAACATGTATGTACATGTACGATATGCACATATATATATTTTAAACAAGTAGTCATAAAGTGAACACCAATGTAACCACCCAGGTCAAGATACAGAATATTGTAAACAAGTTCCCCCATGTGATCCTCTCCATCATAATCCCCTCTCCCCTCTTCAACCCCATGTCTACCCTTCATTTCTTTGCTTTTCACTATAGTTTTACCGCCCATATATATACCCCTAAATACAATATTTAGTTCTTGGTTTTGAAATTTATACAAATCAAATTATAATGTATACTTTTAAGACTTGTTTCTTTTGCTAAACATTGTGTTTATAAGATTCATTCATATAACTGTATGTAGCTATAGTTTGCTTATTCCATTGTATGAATATATTACAATTTATTTTTCCACTTAACTCTGGATATCTGGGTTGTTTCCAATTTGGGGGTGTTACAAACAGCGTTGCTCCAGATATTTGGCATGTGTGTTCTGGAGCATTCATTTTTAAAAGGATCTAAAAGGAGCAGAACCACAGAGGCACAGGGTTTGTTAGATTCAACTTGGCGAGATCGTGTCAAACTACTTCCCAGAGATTCTTGCACCAATTTACATTCCCCCAAGGATGTATTTTTCTTCTTAATTTTTACCAATCTGTTGTATAATGTTATCTCATGTGGCTTTAAAGCATTTCATCAAATGAGGCTGAACATCTTTCATATGTTAATATACACATTGTTCTCCAAAAAGACTTTCTACTTTACTTTCATACTGGCAGCCTGTGAGAAGGCCCGTGTGTTTATTGGCTACTTGGATTTCACCTTTGGTGAGCAAAGTATTTGTTAAAGTCTTTTGTCCATTTTTCTCAGTAATTTGCAGGGGGTTCCTTATATATTCTGAATACTACTCCTTTATGAGTTGTGTTGCAAAATCTTTTCCCAGTTTGTGGCTTGTCTTTTCACATTGTTCTTGGTATATTAACATTTTAGTATGTTCAAATATATCAATTTTTCCCATATGGTTAGCATGTTTTATATTTCTTTTTCTTTTCTTTTTACTCTAGGTATGAATATGGTTGATATTTTCTTCTTAAATGCTTTATAACTTTGCCTCTCACATTGAGGTTTCATCCTACGTAGAACATGTCATATGTTCTTTTTAAAATTGTTCTGGCTGGATCTTTTGCACATAAATTTTATATTAGTTTGCCAATTTCTTAAAAAAAATACACAATAGTTGGTATTTTGATGGGTATTTTGTTGAATCTATACATCAATTTGGGTAAATTGCCATCTTAATCTTCCAACCCATGAACTTGGAATCTACTTATTTAGACCATTTAAAATTTCAGCCATGTTTTATAGAGGTTTAGTACTTTCGTTAAATTTATTCATAAGTATTTTATTATTTATGATGTTTTTATGAATGGAATTCTTTTAATTTTATTTTGATTGTTCAGTTAGTATATAGAAATACGACTGATTTTTCTGTATTGATCTTGTATCCTACGACCTTGCTGAACTGACTTATGAGTTTTGAGAGTTGGGTTTTGTTTTCTATATGTCTCATTTCTTTTTTGTGTTCTTCTCTTCCTGTTACTTTCTTTTGTGTAAAATAGATGTGTTGTAGTATACTATTTCATTCCTTTGTTTTTATTATTTTAAAAAATACTTAATTTTTTTCAAGAGCAGTTTTAGATTCACAGCAAAAAGAGGGGGTGTAGAGATTTCCCATATATCACCTGTCCCCACAGGTGCGTAGCCTCCCCCTTTATCAACATCACCCAGACAGCTACATTTGTTACACTCGACAAGCGTACAATTGACACATGAGAATCACCTGAAGTCCACAGTTTACATTAAGGTTCACTCTTGGTGTTATAATTCTATAAATTTGACCAAATGTATCCATCATTATGGTATCATGTAGAGTATTTTCACTGCCCTAAAAATCCTCTGTGCTCAACCTATTCGTCCATCTGCTCCCCTTAACACCTGGCAACTACTCTTTTTCTCTCCGTAGTTCTGCCTTTTCCAGAATGTCATATATAGTTGGAATCATATAGTATGTAGCCTTTTCAGATTGGCTTTGTTCACTTAGTAATATGCAATTAAGATTCCTCCATGTCTTTTCATGGCTTGAGAGCTCATTTCTTTTGAGCATTGAATAATATTCCATTGTCTGGATGTACTACAGCTTATTTATCCAATTCACCTACTGAAGGACATTTTGGTTGCTTCCAAGTTTTGGCAATTATGAATAAAGCTGCTATAAACATCCATGTGCAGGTTTTTATATGGACATGTTTTCAGCTCCTTTGAGTATCAATAGATGCAGATAACTCATTTGAAATGCCAAGGAGTATCATTGCTGGATCATATGGTATGTTTGTTTAATTTTATAAGAAACCACCAAACTTTAAAAAAAAAGAAACCACCAAACTGTCTTCCGAAGTGGTTGTATCATTTTGCATCCCCACAGGCAAAGAGTGAGAGTTCCTGTTGCCCCACATCCTCAGCAGCACTTGGTGGTGTCAGTTGTTCCAGTTTGGCCATTCTAATAGGTAAGTAGTGGTATCTCATTGTTGTTTTACTTTGTGTTTTCCTGGTGACATATGATTTGGAGCATCTTTTCATATGCTTGTTTGCCATTGGTATATCTTCTTTGGTGGTGGTTATTAAGGTCTTTGGCTCATTTTTTACTTGACTGTTTTCTTATTGGTGAGTTTTTTAAAATCTTTAACCAAGGATACTGTTCCCATTGATTTGTAGAGAGTGAAAGGGAGGACAGAGGGGAAGAGAGAGAGAGAGAGAAACATCGACGTAAGAGTGACATATCTATTGGTTACCTCCTGCACATGCTATGACTGGGTCGGGAAACTGGCAACCAAGGTACGTGCCCTTGACTGGGAATCAAACCCGAGACCCTTTGGTCTGCAGGCCGACACCACTGTGCCAAACCAGCCAGGGTGAGTTCTTTGTATATTTTGATAATGGTCCTTTGTCAGATGTGGCTTTTGCAAATCTCCTCCTCCTCCCCTCGTTCTGCCGCTTGTCTTCTCATTCTCTTGATACTGTCTTTCAGTATCGTTTTTTAACTTTAATGAAGTCCAGCTTATCAATTATTTTTCATAGGTATGCCTTGGTTTTGTATCTTAAGTCACCACCATACCCACAGTCACCTAGGTAGTCTCCTTTGTTATCTTCTAAGAGTTTTATAGTTGTATGCTTTACATTTAGTTCTGTGGTCTATTTTGAGTTAATTTTTGTGAAGGGTGTTAGGTCTGTGTCTAGATTCCTGTTTTTGCATGTGGATGTTCAGTTTGTTCCAGAACTATTTGTTGAAAAGATGCTCAGTTGGTCCGAAGGTTGTGGGTTATTGTTAAGCTGCAAAGATGCTCTTTACTCCATGATATTGCCTTTGTTCCTTTGTCAGTGATCAGCTGACTGTACACAGGAGCGTCTACATCGAGACTCTGTTCTGTTCCGTGGCTCTGTTTCTGTTCTGCGGCCTGTGCCACACTGTCTTCATTAGTGTAGCTTAATAGTAAGTCCTGAAGTTGGGTGGTCAGTCCTCTTTGCTGTTCTTCAGTATTGTGTTAGCTGTTTGTCCTTGGCCTCCCCATATAAACTTTAGGATCAGTTTGACAATGTCCACAGAATAACATACTGGGATTTTTGGGGGGATTGGCATTAAATCATTAGATCAAGGTGGGAAGAATTGACCTCTTGTAATATTGTCTTCCAACTCATCAGCATGGAATATCCATTTATTTAGTTTCTTTGATTTCATTTATCAGAGAGTTTTGTAGTTTCCCTCATATAGATCTTGCACATATTTTGTTAAAGTTATAACTAAATGTTTCTTCTGGGAGTGCTAATGTAAATGGTATTGTTTTAATTTCAAATTTCACTTGTTCATTGCTGGAATATGGGAAAGACATTGATTTTTGTACATTAATCTTGTATCCTTCAACCTTTCTATAATCACTTATTAGATCTAGGAGTTGTTACTTCTTTCAGATTTTCTACATAGACAATCATGTCATCTATAAACAAACCCAGTTTTATTTCTTCCGCCTCAATCTGTATTTCTTTTATTTCCTTTTCTTGCCTTATTTTTTTAGCTAGTACTTCCAGTAAAATGTTGAAAAGTAGTAGTGAGAGGGGACATCCTTGCCTTCTTCCTTTTGGTGGGAAAGCTCTTTCTCTTCCATCTTAGTAGCAGAGCTTCATGTTTTCTACCATTAAGTATGATATTAGCTGTAGGGTTGTGTTTTGAGTGTTGTTTTTTGTAGATATTATTGGGTTAGTTCCCTTTATTCCTAGTTTACTGAGTTTTTATTATGAATGTTAGATTTTCAAATGCCTTTTCTGCATCTCTTGATAAGATCATGTGATTTTTCTTTTAGCCTGTTGATATATTACATTGATTTTCAAAAGTTGAACCAGTCTTGCATGCCTGAGATAAATGCATGCAAGATATATACAGGGCAGGGCAAAAGTAGGTTTATAGTTCTGTCTGCCTGCCTATCTAATCTATCTATATTTATCTGTCTATCTATCTGTCTATCATCATCTATCATCTTCTTCTTTCCTAAAAATAGACTGTAGGATCCACTAGTAAACCCTTCTGGGCCTGGTGCTTTGTTTTAGAGGGTTATTAATTATTGATTCAATTTATTTGATATAACCTACTCAGAACTATATACTTTTATGAGTTCTGACAAATGTATCTTTCAAGGAATTAGTCCATTTCATCTAGTTTATCAAATATGTAGCCATAGAGTTGGTCACATATGTCCTAGGGATCTGTAGTGATGTTCCCTCTTTCATTTCTGATATTAGTAATTACTAACTTCTTTTTTTCTTAGCCTGGCTAGAGCTTTATCAATTATATTGATTTTTTTTTAAAAAAACAGCTTTTTGTTTTGTTGATTTTCTCTGTTGATACCCTGTTTTCAATTTCATTGATTTTGCTCCAACTTTCACTCTTTCTTTTCTAATGCTGTTTGGATTTAATTTGCTCTTTTTCTAGTTTCCTAAGGTAGAAATTTAGATGACTTATTTCAGATCTTTTTAATATATGCATTCAATGCTATAAATTTCTCTCTGCACTGCTTTTGCTGTATCTCACAAATTCAGTAAGTTGTATTTTCATTTAATTCAAAATACAGGGTGGGGCAAAAGTAGGTTGACAGTTGTATGTGAAAGAGTGTTTATTTTTGTATTTTTATTGTATTTTCTGTAAAACAACTATCAACCTACTTTTGCCACACCCTGTATTTTAAAATTTCTCTTGCAGTATCATCTTTGACCATGAGTATTTTGAAGTGTGTTGTTTAATCTCCACATATTTTGGGATTTTTCAGTTGCCTTTCTGATTGATTTCTAGTTTAATTACATTGTGGTCTGAGGGCAGACATTGTATGATCTCTATTCTTTAAGATTTGTTAACATGTTTTATGGCCCAGGGTATGGTCTACCTTGGTGAATGTTCCATGTGAGCTTGAGAAAAACATGTATTCGGTTGTTCTTGGGTGAAGTAGTCAATGATGTTGATTATATCCAATTGATTGATGATGATGCTGAGTTCAATTGGGTCCTTACTGACTTTTTCCCTGTTGGATCTGCCAGCTTCTGAGAGAGGGGTACTGAAGTATACAACTTGATAACGAATCACGTATTTCTCCTTGCAGTTCTATCAGTTTTTGCCTGATAACCAGGTAAAAGGAATTGCTGTAAATGGGCCTTTAGTAATGTCATGGTGAGGTGTGGGGGAAGGAGAAGCATTTTATACTGCTGTGATTAGATCTCAGGCTTTTAGTGAGCCTATGCCCTGGACTACAAATTACACATGTACTTCTCAGTCCCCCCTTTTGACTCTCTTTAGGTGGGACGGGATGGCTAGAGTGGGCTGGAGTTCGGTATTTCCCTTCCCCCAGGTTAGTTAGGCTCCGGTTAATCAGTTTCTCCCGAGGGAAGCCTTTATTAAGTAAAACAGAATGGTCTGGCATATTTTAAAATGGTTCCTTTGCCCCTCCTCCTGTCAGAACCAGTAGGGGATTATTCTCAGATATACACTGAGAGACCCAAGAGGTAAACTCACAAAAGTGTCTCCCCTCTGCTCCCACCTTCCCATATGACTCGGTCCCTCTGGAGTTTTCAGTTGTCCACACTGAAGCTCCGGCAATTTGTCAATTATAGTTCAGGTTTCCCCATGCTGGCACTGGTGTCCATGGAAGTAACTGTTCCAGTAAGCTGGGATTCTCTCTATTTGCCTGTCAGTCTCTCCAATTTGGGGGACAGCAGTTTTCCCTGTGACTTAATTTCCCTTGTGGATCTAGGAAGAATTATTGATCTTCAGTATGTTAAGCTTTTTACTATTAGGACAGAGTGGCAAGCTTCTTACATGCAAGACTGGAAATGTCTAGAATTCTTGGTTCAAAGTAATCTGCTTTGTCTTCCCACATTATCGTCAAAGAAAGGACTGATGCCAATAGTGTTAACTTCCACACAACCTGTTTTTTGGCCTCTGGTTGATTTTAGAATTTGTCCTTTAATATTGGTACTTTGAAATTCTGCTTTTTAAAAATGTATTTGGTTCTGTGCTAAATGGGGATGAACCTTTTTAATC